GAGGCTAGGGTTCGATCGATTTTGGGAAAACTTGAAGAGAGAGAAAAGTTTTTGAGCAAAATTTTTGCTTACTTTCGTTCAAAATTATAAATAATCTTATCTTTATTCGGCTTTCATCATTTGTGTCCCATTTTTTTTTATGTTTTTGACAAACTAGTATTTTAAATTTGGTGTCTGTAAAATATTTTCTGAAATTAGACTAATAGAATGGACCAAAAATAACATCTATATGTATTGAAAGAGGTTGATTGAATAATATGAAATAGTAATATTAACTTTATAATTAAATAGGTTGACTTACTATTAAAGGAAATACAGTAAAAATTACTTTAATATTAAAAAACTGAAAATCAAATTATCCCTACATGTTGTAAATCGTACAATTCGGTTAATAGCACAACTTTTTATATAAATAAAGGGGTATCAATTTTGAAAATTATTTTGTGATAATTATCGTAATAAAAATTTATTTCTTCATATTAATTACAAATCACTGCAATTTCTTATTGTTTTGGTAACAAACCATACAACATGTCTTCAAAAAAATTTCGATTAAACAGGTTTTGTTTTTAGAGAAAATTTGTTGAATATGCGCGAAAAAATTGCAAATATAACTATAAAATTAAATTGAAAATCAGTTATAAAAATTTTATTATGATACTTATCACAATGTTACAGTAGAATCTTATTTATCAACATTAATTACATATTACAGTTATTTCTTATTCATTTAACCAACCATATACCAGAATATTTTTTTATCATATCTTTAACAAATTATTTAATCAAGAAGATTAGTTTAGAATCATTTGATTTATCAATAACTCAACCAATTCAGTTTTCAAAAATTGTAAACGCAATTTTGCACTATCAAAGAGAAACTTAACTATTCATCATTAGTAATAAAATAATAATTATCCTTAATAACAAATCATATGTTCTCCTGTTTTGTTGGACATCCAATCATATGTAGACCGAAATATGCATGAGAACATTGCAAATTATAAGCACAAATAAATCTAGAAATCAATCGCGTAAATAATATTGATATAACTACCACAATACTACAATACAATTGATATCTCAATATTATAACAAGTCCTTCAATTTTCTATTCATTTGGTAACGAGCCATATGCCAAAATATCATTTATTCAAGGATTTCAAAAATATCTTTTGATTTTATCAATAATTGAGTCAAACTAGTTTTTTAAAAATATATATTGCAATTCACAATATCATAACCAAACTCGTATGAATTAATAGATTAGAAAGAAACTTTAAAATGTAATATACATTATTGTAATTATAAGAAAAATAAAATAATATTTACGTAATTAAAAATTAATAAATTTAAAATTTAAAATAAAATATATTACAAATTTTTAAATTAAGTTTTAGTTATAATATTTGTTGCAAGTTATCAACTTGGGAAGTGTTATAGGTACATAGACATGTACATAAAGATTTACATAATACTCACATTGAGTGGGACCCACTAAAAATAAAAAATTAAATGGACCCCACTCAATGTGAGTGTTATATATATCTTTATGTACATTCATTATGTATCCATAGCATTTTCCTTTCAACTTTAGCATAACTTATTTGAAAATTTAAAAAATATATGGTAATAAGTATGAGTAAAAGAAGATAGTGAGAGATAAATGTTATGTGAGTATTATATATTGATAATGTTTTAATATTTAATTTTTCATTGACTTTAATTATAAATAAGAACTCTAAAATAACAACTATTTTTTAATAAGTTAAATAACCATATATAAAATAAAATAAAAAAAAATTTAATATTAATATTCAAAATTATTTTTATAGTAATCAATATTGTTTTGTCGTTTAAAATATATAATTATTATTCGATGCATGAAATAATTTTAAATGATATTCCAAACCCTTTGTTCACGTTCGTCGTCGCACGTGCCTGACGCCAGAGGTGCGTCAAATTATTGACAATCTCTCGCTCTCCTTTCTCAATTTTACACACTGATTTGGTCATCGATTTCAATCGCAGGAAATATTTTTGCCAAAAGCAAATATCAATTTTGCTCTGTTTTGTGCTTCCTTTGTTGTTATCCTTCTTGAATTTAAATGTAAAAAGCTAAGAATGAAGTGAAAAGAATTGATAAGCAAGGGGAAGATGAGTGTTTCTTTGACTGTGATGACCTTTAATCTTCTGGAAGATCAACCCGATGACAGCCCCAATTCATGGGAAAAGAGGAAGAATCTGTGTGTCACAGTCATTACTAGTTATTCCCCCATGATTCTTTGCACTCAGCAAGGTCTTTAGCATCTCTGTGCGTGTGTGTGTGTGTGCGCGCGCGCGCTCGCACTTTTGCCCCTTTTTACTAATTCTTTATTTCATTTCTGGTAATGGGTAATTTGGGCTTGATTTGATTGACAGTACGAATATAGGTTTTTTCCTCTGTTTTTTAATTGTTCGTTATTTAGGTTCGTTTCTGTTTTTCCTTTGCCTGATTTTAAGTTTTAATGGGATTCTGTTCCTAATTTGGCTTTCTGCTTTTCTGCGCAAGGTTAGGGGTGAAGTCGCAGTTGGACTATCTGCAGCAATGCTTGCCTGGTAAATTGAATTGACTGATACTGTGAATATTAGCAATTTTGATATGAATTTGTAGATAAATGAAACGATCAATTTCTAAAGTCAAGTCGAAGTCCGAGTTGACTGTTGTGGAGTTGGTCAAAATAGCAAGCTCATTCATTTTGGCTTCTCTGATTATTTCATTAGTTTCCTTACTACATTTCACTTTGAAGCTGGATTTTTGTCTAATATAAGTTAATATAAGTTATTGTTTTGTTTGCTAAGGATATTAAATCCTTCCTGAGTTGTATTTGAGTGCCTCACTATAGAACTAAAAGCGCTAATTTAAGGCACACTTATGTTGGCCAAAAGGGTATGAACAATTTGGAATCTCGCGGAAAGGACCCGAAGATACTTCCGATCAGCACTGCACAATCTTTTATGACAAGGAAAAGGTGAAGTTTCTAGTAGTCTTGAACCCGTTCTTTTTGTTCTAAATTGCCGGTAAAATAGGTTTTCTTGAAAACATATGACGTATAATGCAGGTTGAGCTACTCGAAGGTGGAACTTTTTGGCTCTCAGAATCTCCCTCAGTTCCTGGTAGCATTTCGTGGGCTTCTACAGATCCTTGTATTTCAACATGGGCTATATCCTTAACTTGCTTTCTATATACATTCGTTTGGATAAATCTGTCTTTTTCTTTTGTGCTATCTTATTAATTTATGATCTGGACACGGCTGTTTTTTTTACCTTGACGAGTTGTGTACACATTCCAGCTAAAAGGTGTCGAGCCACCTGGCTTTTCATTTCAGATAGTCAACACGAACATGGATGAGTTTAGTCCTCGTGCCCGTAGGCGTGGGGCCCTGCTGACATGGCAGCACATTGCTTCGTTGCCTCCAAACTTGCCCGTACTGTACTGCGGAGGTTTCAACACACAAAAGGAATCGACTGCTGGACGTTTTCTTCTTGGAAGATCGAGGTATTAATTTCAGTTTCTTCATGTTGCTAGTGCAGTTATATCGTGTAATTTCTTTTTAAGTATGTTAGAAATATGGTCATATTTAGATTTGGCTTGGAAGGACTATCAATGATATGTTATCAGGCGTTCCCATTGCACTGTCTCTGGTATTTGGCATGTCCAATTCATTTATTTATTCCTTTTATAAGTTCCATTGCTACAGTTTTTAGTGGGAAAAAGCAATTGGCTCATACCACCATTTAAGAGAACTTGAACACCTGTAACTTACACAACCATGCTGCTTTATATGTTCATGGGTTGGGCTTAAATTTTATCTAAGTGGGTCGATACGAATGTCCATTATTCCAACATCCAGTTTTACACGAATTTCTCCACTCGAGCACTTTTTTTATTTGAAGGTGGAACTTGGGAAAGGCTGCTGTTGTAAAATGACATTTTCTTATTCAGTGGTACCAAAAATTGTTAAAATGTCTACTTGGGGTTTTCATATGATTATTGGACAATCATGGATAGTGTATTTTTACAGGGAACACGGCGTAGTAGGTGATATGAGGGACGCTTGGCCCAGTGCTCGTGTAAGGAAAAATGTGCCTTTGATCCGAACATACCATGGATTTAAAGGTATATCTATACGTTCAATCACTGTTTTTCGTCTTTTGGGTCTCGAGAAAAAAAATTGCACTTCCATTCACAGGGGATTGAGACTCTGATTTTTTTATTTTTTATTTTTTTTGCCTTTTCTTATCTCATTTTAATAAATTTGTTAAAATACCATTCGTGGTCAGGTGATAAACAAGGTACTGTCGAATTCTTGAAATTGATATTTAGAGCACTTTGCCTTTGCTGGGATCGGCAAACTCAGGATTTGCACGTGGACTGGATTCTTTTCAGGGGCAGATCATTGATCCCAGTCTTGTGTGAAGTCGTGAGTGATAATGTCGATGGTTATTACCCTTCGTCTCATTACCCTATATTTGCTGAGTTTATGCTTCCGCGTACTGTGAGGCTGGCCGAGACGCCTGCTCAAGATTGAAATTTAAATCTACATTTTTGTTTTCACAAATTTGCCAGTTTCCTAAGTTGAGATATCATTTTTGTTGCGGTGTTTTGTCGATTGTGGTTCAATGATATTTGTTGGTTATGGTTTATGGAATATGAACCTTGGGTTTTGACCTTTTGCTAGACTTACCCATTTAGTTGGAATTCCTTAATTGATGATGATGCCAACATCATTGTTCTAAATTATTTGTGGCATTTAGACCTTTTAAATGTAAAATAATCGTTTTCATGTCAACTAGTGCACAACCCGCGGTGCGTATATGGAGGAGCTTGTAGCTTAAAACTTTTTTTAAGACACTATTTTAAATAGAATTGTTTATATTTTTTACATCTCATTTCATTATGGAAATAAAATAGATACAAAAAATGAAATATCCTATGTTATTGAACAATTCTCTGTACACAATATTTTTTTATTTGAGTTTGTGACAAGTCATCACCACAAATTAAAATTTTCAAACTCGTTGGATTAGTGACGTGGGAGACAACAACATATTGACCATAACTGAAAATCGACTTCTTCAGCAATAAGCCAACATGCGACACAGATCGATCCTGACTATTGTTTATAGATTGACCCTAACTATTGTTTGTAGTCACTGGGTAAGAAACCATAATAGAAAATTGTCTTTGTTAAAACTTAAAAGGTATTCTTGTGTCGGAAGGAGTTATCGTCATCTGGGTATTAACGCCTAATCATCTAAGTAGTCATCAATAAGTATCTTACATTCGAGAACATGACTGGAGAGTTTGATCATAATCAAATGTGTCCCGTTGCACAATGTTATAGGATGGTTCATGTTCCATAGCAACATGATTGGAGTTCCTACCTTTAAATGCAACTCATGATTCAGTGTCCCAAAACATTTGAGAGAGTTCAAAAACTCAGGCGTGTAGAGTTCTAACAAAATTTCAGTATTCGAATTGGATTTACACGTACTATTACAGTTTAAATGCATACAACCTTCTATCAAATTCAACGATGACGTGTATTGATTGATAGAATCTACAATCTCCGATGTAGGTGCCAGTATAGCCCTATCATTAAAATAACTTGGATCACAATTGAATTCTTGAGCATTAGATACATGCTTTCAAAACTTGTAGCAATTGGATCATCGGATGGTTTTAGCAATATATCAACTGGTATGTCAATCGAGGCACAACCATCATTTGACCCACCTATAGTACCATTCTTGATGCTCTCGATCCAATCAACAAATTCAGCTAGCTCGTCAAGTTTATCTAGAGCACCAAAGGCTCTGTAGATGCATGTTCTTTGTTCTCCTAAGCACAATATAGTCTCCCCAAATGCTTGAAACGCTAATTGCAGCATTAATAATCTTTTGACGGTTCCCCTTTAAAATTATCGGTAGAAATTGTCAGAAGTTTCCACCAACACAATAGGCTTGCCTCCTAACGGTCAATCATTGTTAGTTGGGTTGACTGCTCCCATGATTGCCTGAAATGATGCTTGAATAGCTTCGAAACAATGTGTATGCATTATTGACGCCACGTTCTATATGATATGGGAACAACGTATGATTAGCTTTGCCAAAGTGCTAGCCTGGTTGATCTCGTACGATGATCTTTCATGCAGATTAATAAGTACAAACCCGAGCTTTTAGTATACAAACGAACACAAACTATTTGAAAAACCGAAACAAAATAACTCTACACTGAAAAATAATTGTTGGTCGTTTGACATTCTCCAAATCGAATAAAAACAAAAAAATAATTGGTACGATTCTAGAAATTTTATAATAACCAAACTGAAGACCGAACCAAATAGTTTCTTACCGTATTGAACCGAGCTATGACATCAAATGTGTTTTGTCTTTTTCTTTTATATCAACTTTAGTCGTAGATTACTTGATATTTTCATAATCCTTATAACTTATAATTATAATAACAACTAAACTTCACAAAAATTTATATTTCCCAAACTTTAACAATATTTTACTTTTGGTTATTCGTCTTATTTTATTATCTTATACTTAAAATAGTATAAAAAATTACAAGAAGTATTTTCTAATCAAATACATTTTGTTAGAAGTTTAAATTTTCACCATTTGATTTCACAAATAAATAGTCTTAACTAAAAATCATAATTCACTTCTTTTTTCTTTTCTTCACAAATAAATTTGTTAAGAGTGATTTCAAAACAAAATCTTTAATAAGAAGATACACAAAAAGTTGAAAACTGAAAAATATTTTAATATTAACAACAAGATTTTGATTTTTTTTTTTAAAAATAAAATTCACTTTAATTGATATTTTTAATTAAAACTTAATAATAGAACTCAGAAAATCTAATTCTAGCCGTACCAATCTGAACCATCCCAATTACTCGATACTCCAACCGGAACAGACCGAATTGAACCGTATCAAATCTAATCGTCCCAAATTTTGATACGGTTCCAGATATTTGAATTTTATAATCTCCGATTTTCTTTTAAATCTCTAAATCGAATTGTCCCATGCTCACCCCTAATTTCTACTATTTCCCTTTGTATAAATTAATTTTGTTTTTTACAATAATATTCATGACAAAAAAGAACATCACAATACACAGGGAATCAGAAAAAAATTCAACAAATATAACTTGGGTTGGGTTATTGCATGTAAGAAGAGTGTTGTGAAGTAGACTTGAATAAAACATTTTGACTTATAAAAACACTTCTCCTAATGTTGTCTTTGATATTTGCAATATGTTGAATGGGATCAATAAGGTCTACTCTTCTAAATACTTGGAACTGACTCTTGGGATTGTTAAAAATAAGAGAGATATCTTTCAATATGTGAGTGAGAGAGTGAAACAGAGAGTGTGCAGTTAAAAAAAAAAAAACAGTTTTGTTAGTGAGGCTGGAAGGGAGGTTTTAATTAAATATGTATTGAATGCCCTCCCTACCTTTATGATGTCTTGTTTCAGAATTCCTGCCTCTATATGCAAATCTATCTGCAGTGAGATTGCTAGGATTTGGTGGGGAAAATCTGGGGAGGGGGGTAGGAAAATCCACTGGGCTAGCTGGGAGAATGTTGCAAAACCTAAAGAGAGAGGGAGGCTAGGTTTAAGAAATCTTAATGAAGCTCTACTAGTGAAGCAGTTGTGGAGATTGATAACTCAGCCAAACCTTTTAGTAAGTAGAGTCTTGAGGGGATAAGATTTTTGGAAGGAAAAATTAATGGATGTCAAATCTAGGAATTCAATCTCTTGACTCTGGAGAAGTTGGGGGATAGGTATATGGTGGGTGATGGTACCTCAATCATCATTTGGGATTCTCCTTGGCTTTCTTCTTTTATTTCAGAGTGTCATTTCTCTAGTAATAGAGAGAGATTGCAGAGAGTAGATGAGCTCATTATCAAAGATACTAGAGAGTGGGATAGAGAGATAATTTGTCAAATATTTAAACCTTTTGATGCTGAACTTATCCTTTAGATTCCTATTAGATATAAAATCATTTGGCACTGGCACAAAAAAGGAGGAACACACTTTGAAGGTTGTGTATGAATACCTAATTAATAGGGCTGCATTGGAGGAGGTTGGTTCTAGCACAACAGACTCATCATTTAAGAAGATGTGGAATCACTTGGAGATTGCCTATTAAAGGTAAGATCAAAAACTTTCTTTGGAAGTGTTGTTTTGGGTTTTTAGTACTGGGCTACAACCTTAAAAGAGGAAGATTGTGTGTGATGAGTGGTGTCCTATTTGTAGAGAGGAGAAGGTGGACTTAGCACACATCCTCTTTAATTGCTCCAGAGCCAAAACCTGTTAGAAATTGTTGGGTATTAGTTGGACTAGATTGGAACAAAAAGATTGGAAAAAAAAAAAAAAAAAAAAACAAATTTAAAAAACTGGTGGTTTGAATTATGCACTAATGGCAGTGGTGTTTGCTTTGAGGATAGGCTAAGTCTTTCGAGTTACCTGATGTGGTGCCTGTGGAAGACTAGAAATGGGTGGCTGTTTGAAAACCTGTGGACTTCAGTGAATATGATTGCTAAGGGTGCTTTGGAGGAGTGGACAAAATTTTCTGCAGTCTTGGAGTCAGAACTGAGTTCAAGAAGAGAAAGGAAGAGTGGGCAGCCAACTTCTGTGGGAGAATCATCTTTGGGAGTGGGCAGCCAACTGAAGGATAGTGCCTTGGCCTCAAAACTAAATGCCTTTCAACAACATTTATGGAATTCTGGTTGAAGATATCCTTGCCCTGGCAGCAGCTTTTAGAGTTTGTAATTTTATTTGTTCTTCTTCTTTGTGTTCTTGTAAGTTGTTAGCCAATGTGGCTATGGAGGGGAAATTGTACTTCCCCGTTTGAAGGGGGTCCTAGCAGTTGTTTGTAAAGGACCGTCTTTGCTTATAGTCATTTGATTGTTCGGTTGTACTCTATCTTTGACTTTTATGTGATGATTTTCCGTGGAAAAAAAAAAGCTCGTAAAATGAAATAGAGCACAATTTACCTTCTAATCTTCATTTTACTTTTGTATTTAGGAATGTTTTTTCTTGATTATACTTTTAAAGTTTATGAATGGTTAATTTTTGGTCATCCTTTTCATTGGTTCTTAAATTGCATTAATTTTTTAGTTATGTCTAGTTTATAAATGATTTATGTACGGTTTTATTTTGAATGTCGTGTTTAAAAGTTTTCGAAAAATATAGTAAACATGTAAAATAGCCAATGAAATATGTCTAAATATAGGCCCATATTGTTGGAATAACTGATCACATAAATCTCTAACTTACAGATGATCAGGCTATCAGCATTGGATTTTCAAATGAAACAAAAATCTCTATTGTTCTTCATACTCCCTTGAGTTGGCTACCAGAAATATAGCCATCCCAGCCCTTTCATAGCCTCTTATCCATTCTCTTTGAATCACAAATCAAGATAGCAAGTGAGTCCCCCAGTCACTCGAGCGCTCTCTTGCCCCCATCAAAAGTGAGGATGTGAAATATATACTAATCGAAACAGGGGGATTTGATGTAATAATCCACTAAATCACTCAATCCTCAAAAGAGTGCACCTTTTCTAAATTATCTCGATTTCACAACACTCGCATTCGTTATCATTTCCTGTTCAAACCTCAAGAAACCCTTTCAAAAAAGTTGTTTAGAGCAGTATGCCATTTTAATGGCTTCAACAGAGACAGAGTTGATTAATCAGTAGGTACAAATAACAGATGTTCTCATAAGCCTCGGCCTATATGCAAAGTAAGCACAAACTTCCATTGTCATGAAATATTCTAAAATTAAAAACCCAAAAAAGAATCAAAAGCATGATATGCCTCAAAGCCTGCTATCCGAAATCTGCTAGAAATACAAAAAAATACCAAACAATAGAGGTTACATCTCACTCAAGAGCCAGATACGGGCATGCCGACAACATTAGACCAAGTAGAAGATGATTTCTCAAGATTCCTTAATACAGAAGAGTAAGAACTTGAAAACAGATTGACAATTTCACATGCAATTTTATTTACATTTTTTTTTTCCAAATCTCACGTAAAGAAGCCTAATATTATCATTTAGGCTAACCCCGCGACCCCCAACACACACACGCGCGCAAGAAAGGAAAAAAAAAAAGAAAGAAAAAACAAAAAAGCACAGTCGTGCAACAGAGTTCAGTTAAACTACACGTTGACGTGAAACTTCAATGTACCAAATATATTCTCAACTTTAGTACCTTGTAATCCCAATTATATCAATCGGTGGGTGCTTAACCTCTGCAAGCACCATACAACATTAACTCATGGTGATTTAATGCATATATGATGACTTATCCCCAAACAATCACATTGTCACCAATCACCGATTTCACAAAAAACCTTCAGGCATAACCTGCCGAGATTCCATCTCATTTCGCATGTCCATGACCAAATCCTCCTTCCCACATCTGCAAAGCCCATCAAAAAGAGAAGACAATTCATCAAAATCAGGAGCTATAGCCCTCTTTACCATCTCTCTCAAAATCCCAACAGCCCCCTCATAATCCTCGTTCTTTACAAAAGTGGATAACAGTATATCAAAAGTCGCTCTATTAGGATGACACCCGCTCCTTACCATGCTCTTGTAAATCTCAAAAGCACGTTCGCCATTGTTTTTCGTACACTGCCCTGTAATAAGTGCGGCAAAAGTGGACGAATTAGGGACCAATTTCTCTCTGTCGAGCTCTCTCACCATGTAAGCGGCTTTTCTCGTCTTTCCCTCCTTGCAGAGGCCCATTATCACGGCATTATAGGTCAAGATATCGGCTTTCACCCCACTCACAGACATTTCATCGAACAACTGAAGTGCCATCCCACTATTTCCATTTTCACCATAACCACCGATTAATACGTTATAAGTTACCGTTGTGGGATTTACGCCCACACTTTTCATCTCTCGAAGAAGCTTACTAGCTTCATGTAGTCTCCCTTCCATGCATAATCCATGTATAAGCGTGTTATACGTAACATCATTTGGTGGGGCCCCGTTTTTATCCATTGCATTCTTGATCTTCATACCACTTGCCACTAGACCCTTGGCACAATAACCAGCAATCAAAGTATTATACGAGACAACATTACAAGCCAACCCCATTGATTCCATTTCTTTAAACAGCTCAATAGCCATATCCAATTTCCCCAATTTACTGTAAGCCCCCATAACCATATTAACAGTGTACACATTTGGGGTGATTCTACACCTGCAGATTTCTTTATAAAAGGCTAACAAGATATCTGGACGATTCAAACTACTCAATGAACTCAAATAGGCATTGCAGGACTCAATAGTGGGGAAGAACCCGTACTCTTTCATCCAGCGGAAACAATCAGAAGCGTTCCTGAACTTCTTCATATGCGCGTGAGTTTTGAACAACAAATCAAACACGCGAGGGGATGATTCGCACATCCTGTACGAGTAAATCAAAGCTTCGAAAACCCTGCGAGGGAAATTTAAGTCGGATAAGCGCATTTCAAGAAGTCTCTTCAGAATCGACTCCGAAGATTTGAACTTACGATTCCTGGTCAAGATGTGGAGGATTATGGAGGTCACCTCGAGCGTGTTGAGGTTGGGGTTTTTGAGGCCGATCCAGTTGAAGAATTCGAGAGAGAGGACGTAATCTTTTCGGGTTTTCAGAAGAATGTGCTTGATTCGAAAGAGCGATAAGGCAGAAGCTAATTTATCGAGTTTATCCCATTCGGAATGGATCAAATGGCTGTGAGCTATGTTTATGAAGTCTGAATCCTGACCTGTGGGTGGAGGGATCGTTCTGTGGGGTAAAAAGATGGGATTTTTGCTGTGATTTGTGAAAGCTGAGAATTCAGTCAGGTTTTTGGCTGTGTGGAGGAATGTGGATAAACTTCTCAGCTGTCCAAGGTTTTTCATGGTTGTTAATTTCGTTTTTCTTGGGCTGTCGCGAGAGTGTGTTTATAGACGAGGAAAGGGAAAAGTTGCAAAAACAGAGTGATCGAGACTCGAGAGCGTTGTGTTTGAAGTTTGAACGGATGATGGAAAACCAGCAATGGCAGGCTTTTACAATCCTGTTAAGCTTAGCCCCATTTGGTAAATAGCACAAGACGGGATAAGGACAATTGTCAGGAAGGTGTCCCTCGTTCAGTTTGTATGATTAAAGCCTGACAGATAACCTCCACCCAACGGATTACTCGTCGTAGTGTACTGTCCCAAAACTGATTACTTATTTCTATTTGAAGTGTTGATTTTTTATTTTTCTAAAAAACAAAAAAAAACAGAGAATTATCTCGAATGGGGGATTAAGGTCAAATTCTCAACTTGTATATAGTAAAAATCTTAATTAGACCGAAGAAGTCATAGATCTACACATGTCCAAACAACAAACGGAAACGAAAACCAAAACGAAAAAGAAAAAAAAACAACAACCAAAATAAAAAGTTTAAATCTGGTCTTACAGGTGCCCAGACGAGCAATCTGCACCACAAAGTGGGCTAAAGCACAAAAATACAAACCGACTACCGAAATTTGAACGAGGGGTAGCCATTCTGATCCATCCGCACAAGAGTGTGGAGGCGGAGAGGGGCGTCCGGGTGAAAAATGTGCATCGGGGAAGTGGAGGCACCGAGGTTAGCCAGGTAGTCAGCAGGCCGGTTCTCCTCGCGGAAGACGTGCGAGATCTGGTAGTGAACCGACTGAAGTGTGGATCTGATGCGCATGAGCGGGTGCGGAATCTGCGACGAGCCCTGGTGGCCCGAAGTCAACAGGGTGGCGACAGCGCCAGCATCTAGCTCAATCCAAATGTCAGTAGAGATAGAGGATGAAATTTGAAGACCGATTTGAAGCGTCTGAACCTCCGCATCGTAGCTCGAGGAGGCCCGAAGAGGGCGTGAAAGGCGGTAATGAGAGCTCCGCTGTGATCCCTAATCAGTCCCCCGCCTCCGACGGCTCTGGTGAATCGGCCGAAAGATTTGTTAGTGTTTAGCTTAACCCAAAGAAAGTCGGGTCTCAGCCTAACAACGACTCTGGGTGTGGGTGTTGGATAGGTGGTAGTGGAGATGGCATGAAGTGGCGTGAGTCTATCCAGAGGAGTGAGAAGTGAGAGATGTCGATCAACCTGTAAAACAATGTGAGAGCACATAAAAGTAATATCTCTATGCTTCAAACTATTCCTCTCTGTCCAGATGAACCACAGAATCAGACAAGGAATGAGGAAGCCCACGTGTCTAAAGTGTGTACATTGTGACAAAAGATCAGGAGCACAAAAAAACTATCTGTAGTGGGTTGGGGTATATGAGTATATGTGGCAAAATGTTCTCACACTCTCCTCGCAACCTTGCTCTCTAAAAACAAATGGGAAAAAATATAAGTTTGAAAATCACTGGTCTCGGTACAATAGTAACATCGCGAGGGGAAGAAAACCCCTCTCACCTGCAACACATAGTCGATCAGAATCCAGCGCAGAAAAAAAGCGCCAAAGGAAGACAGTGATTGTCGGGGTAAGCAGGTCGGTACAAATGGCCTCGAAGAGTATGTTAAGCTGGTCACCCATCCAAACTTCCTCCCAACCTAAGGTTGTAGAGAAAGCACTCGAAGATGTAATCTCCACCTCATACCGTTTGAATCGTCCTTCGAGATGAGAATCTGTTGGATCTGTTTTAATAACTAGCCACTAAAACCCGCTCTAGCACCCAACTCCCTCTCTGACCTATTTATATTCCACGTCCCATTGGTCCACAAATCCTTCACCAGCAAGGAAGGGGAGTGAGTGACCTGCCTGGTGCTCGAAAAAGGCCCTCAGTAAATCATCACTCATCCCAAAAGCTAATACCCCTCTCACCCAGCGTCCAAAACATGTACTCTGAGCAACCTACCTACCCTGGTAAGCCGCCTTGATGGAGACGAGATCGCAATGGCATTTATGGACAAATATGATCGTTTACCATCCTTAGTTTAATTATTTATTTCCTAACTATTTTAATATTATGCTTTATTTCCCTTTTCCTAGTTGGTAGATGAATATTTCATGTTATCTGGAATTTACATATTTAGCAAAATAGGGATTTAGCCTTGTTAGGACTCTATATATTGCCTCTCCTCTTCAAAGTCGGTCGGCTGTTTATGAATAATTTTATAAGATTTTGAGATTTATCTCTTGTTCCCTTTTCGTTTACGCTGCGGTACATCACGCCTCCACTGTATACTATCATGATTGGTGGTCGTCAACCTATAAGGATGACAGACGCCTCTAGGGCAGTACTTCCCACGAAAATATTGAGCCCAAAGAGACTTTCCCTCCTTGAAGCATCGCCACATCGTATAAGGGAAGGCGGTGACTATGTTCAATAAGCTTTGGATCCCAAGGCCACCCGGAAAAAGTCCGGCAAACAAAGTCTTACTTCACCCAGTGGTGCTGTCTCCCCCACCGGGAGCCATCCACGCGTCCCCCGAAATAACAAGTCATGATCTGAAATAGCTCATGGAGAGTGGATTTAGGGGGATCGAGGACCATAAGGAGAAGAAGTAGAAAGGCGTTGAGGGTACTTTTTACCAGCGCGAGTCAGCCCCAAAAGAGAGATGTCTATGGGACTAGCCGGATATCCGGTAGATCATCCTCTGTCTGATGTCAGTAAAGAGCGCTCTCGTGGGATGACCCTTGTACAGAAAGGCTCCAAGGTAGATGATGGGGAGGTCGCCACGCGCAAAACCAGTACGCTTGTGGATAATAATTACTTGATTTACCTCCCTGAGTTTTAGATATAATGTATTTCTATTAATTTAATTACAGATAATATAATTAATTGACTTCTTGAACCGAGATTAGTATGTTAGAGTAGAATACCCGGCGTTCCAATCAGATATGACATATTCTACTTGTAAAAATAATCTATTGGAATTATATTAATAAATAGGCATTACTTTATCTTATGTATTAGTAGTTATCCTATATTTGCACATATGATAAAGTCCCTAGATCACTTATAGTAATGAGGTATGGTTGCGCATAGAGATGGTGATCATGGAACATACCTTAAAAACTGTGAGCTTAAAAATAGTTCCAAGTCGTTGGATATTTCGAGATGGGATATCGAATAATCCGGAAAGATTTTTACATATGATGTATACTTGATGGTCAAGAATTTTGCATTCCATCAACATTAGCGTGGGACGCAAGTACATATATGTAGGTGCTTGTTAGAGAACAAGTTCACTGAACATGACCGTATGAAAATTCTTAAATGAAAGATTTAATCTTGTCGAATAAGAATTTTTCATGTTACAATAGTACATGATTGATCCTATGACTTGAGGCACGATAGTAATCTTGTGCATGTTATACTTTACTTTGATTTATCCTTTTGGTTGCTAGCACAATCGTATAAAGGGATATTTTGGGTATTGTATTAATATGTATGGAGGTTTGTCAGTGGCCAACAAAGGATTCGACACTTATGAAATAAGTGAATTTCCTATGTGTTTCATAGTTTGTAATTCAAAAACCTTGACCAAGGCGGGATGAATAGAGATTCATACACGAATTACTAAACTTGAAATGGAATCATAGTTATTAAATCAATTGGGTTTCGACTAATAAATTCATACCCAAGATTTAATCGGGAAATTAGATGTCGAAAGAATTTTACATGTATGGACTTGTAATCGAAAAGATTTACTCGCTAATACTAGATTCATGCTACTTGCTAGATGTTCCAATGATATGTGGGTTCTTGAAATTAAGGAGTTAATTTCATGAATAAGAATTAATAAGATTAATTCAAATTACAAAGAGTTGTTAACCCACTACTAGTATTAATAGTGAACCTAAAAGGTCACACCAATTTTTGAATGAAGGCAAAAATTAGTATTTCTAAAGAGTTAGAATTAATTGACAAATCTAATTTTGATTAGATGTCAATTAAAGGAATATACTAAATTAATCAATTGGATTGGTTAATTTTATTTTAGATATTAATTTAGTAATTAATGGAATTACTAAATTAATAGTTGGATTTTAACATTGGATTTTAAAATTCAAATTCAAATAATAATATGATTATTATATGAGGAGATTTAAAATATGGGAGAATATATATTTACAAATAATTTTGAAAGAGTTTAAATTTATTTATTTATTATTATTATTAATCTTTAATTGAGATTAAAGATCAAATAATAATAAAGATATAATAATGGATGGGGATGGGATCCCACATCACATTAATTATTCTTGTATTAACCTGTAGAAGTAATACAAGACTTTTTAACATGTCTTGTGAAAGTTATACAAGACATAAATATTTTAAGTTGAATTTCTTTACATTTCTTGTGAAAGTTATTCAAGACATCAATATTTTATACCTACAGTTTTAGTATAAATATGGACATACTTGATGTTCATAATAGCTAAGTTTTGAAAGATAAATTGAAGTCTTGAAAAATTTGAGAAAAGTTAAGAAAATTATAATCTCTCTAAAAACAAGAATTGTTCTTGTAAAAACTCCTCATAAAATATATTCCTATACTTATTAAAAACCGAGTAATTTCTACTAGCGAAGAAATTATCTTAAGAAGTCGGATTTCAAAAGGTGGATACTATTAGAGGGAAGACGATTGGATTCCTAAAGTGAGTAACAAGAAGATCGTTACTAAACCGGGAATTGATTTCCTCTATCATCGTCAATTTGAAGGAGTTCAAGTTGAGGTAATTTCGAAACTATCTTCAAATCAAAATTTGTATTTATACATGTTTCTAAATGATGACGATCTGTTTATTCGCTTTATGTATTTACGGGTTAAGTATTTATATGATAAATACTTGTTTTTAAAATTTTTATTCCGCTGCAAATGACCCGTACGGTACAAGCGAACCCAATAGTGGTATCAGAGCCACGGTTATCATCTTAAAAAACAAATTTTGATTTGTTTTTGTTTATGAGATAAGCAAAATGATTAAATGTTTATGAGATAAACATATTTTATTGTTAAAATAAAATTTGATTTTTCCACACGAGTCGTGTGATTGGATCACACGAGTCGTGTGAGTAGTCACACGAGTCGTGT